GACAGAGTATCTACAAATGTGTGTGTGTGTGTGTGTGTGAGAGAGAGAGAGAGAGAGAGAGAGAGAGAGAGAGAGAGAGAGAGAGAGAGAGAGAGAAAAGAGAGAGATATTCGGGGGGAAGCAGAGCTAGTGTAATGTACAGTAACATCAGGTGACTTGAGTGGAGGGTGTAGAGGAATTCTTCGTATTCATTTTGCAAATTTCCTTTCAATTACAGGACTCTCGATTAAAACGAGGCCTTAAGTTAAAGGCATGTAGCGCTGCTTTTTCACCAGCAGGTGGCCTCAGCTAACCTTGGGCTGTGTGTAAGGTCCTGTGTTTTTCTTCTCCGTTCAGCCTCAGCACCACCAACCTTAATTCCCAATACTGACCCTTGTTGCTTCTGAATCATAGCCACAACTGTGTTTTGCTTTTGTTTTTTGTTTCTAGACTTCCTTCCTTTTGGCTCTGGAGAAAGTTATTGCAGATATAACCTGGAATGTTTGACCTATTCTAGGTTGTGGGCCTGTAAGGGACAGAGTCACCTACCTCCCTTATTGCCTGTGAGGGAGATTTGCTTACTCTCAACAGAGGGTGCCACTGATCAGTCACATCCTGTGATTTGGGGCATAGCATGGAAGATGGTAGAGACGTTTTTTTCCTTACAACCTAGGTTTTTCGCCAGCATCATAAAGTACTGAGAGACACATTCCCCTGAGGCATAGTACTTGCTTGGCTTGTTGCTCTGTGAGATTTTGGCTTGCTGGTGCCAAGTGAACATGAGAAAGCCTACCGAAAGAAAAGGAAATACAGGGGAGGGGAGGGATGGTATGGGAAAAGCAAAGGAGGGAGTAACAATGCTTGATAGGAAACGTACTCATTACCTTACTCAGGTAACTGTAACCTCTCTGTACAGTATCTTTACAATAAAAATATATATTAAAAAAAAGAAAAAATAAAATTATAGCCACAGGCAGGGGCTGGGGGGGGGAGGGTGGGGAAGGAAATACAGATGACTAATCAGCACATGAAAAATATTTGGCCTTACTGTTTATTGAAGAAGAATACTAGAGTGGACAACAACGTCCAGTATGGTGTGGAGTCAGGCTGGTGGGCGTACATTTTGGCTTGTGGCTTTCTGGCTGGGCAGCCAATGACCTCACTTCTTAGTCCTGTTTCTTCCTGGTAAAGTGGCATGATGGCTTATTCCCCATCTCATGCATTTGTTGGATAGTGTGTGCATAGCAGTGTCTATGATAAGTCCTCATTGAGTCTTAGAATTACCTTGAAACTGTTCTTAAAGATCTGTATGGTTTGCCAAGAGTGAAGAAACATTAATCAGCACTCTGCAGTGTTTGGTGAAATGGATCTATTCCTATATTTAGTGTCCACCTAGGTTTACCCTTTGTGAAAGGGAATTAGGCAGTTTTAAGAACTTAAAAAAAATGTTTATGATGGGTGCCAGTGGTTCATGCCTGTAATCCTAGCTACTTAGGAGACTGAGATCTGAGGATAGTGGTTCAAAGCTAGCCCAGTCAGAAAAGTCTATGAGATCCTTATCTCCAGTAAGCTACTTAAAAAAAAAGCTGGAAGTGGAGCTGTGACTCAAGTGGTAGAGTGCTAGCCTTCAGCAAAAGAAGCTCAGGGACAGTGCTCAGGCCCTAAGTTCAAGCCCCACAGGACTGATACAAAAAATAAATAAATGAAAATGTTCATATACTTTTGGGAAATATTCAGCACATGCATATATGTATATTTGTGGCAATTTTTCTTTCTTTTTTTTTGGGGGGGGGTCTGATCATAGGGCCTGAACTCTGGGCCTGAGCGTTGTCCCTCAGCTCTTTAGCTCAAGGCTAGCGTAGAGCAAGAAATTATAAGCAAATCTTAACAATGGTAAAAAAATAATGAATATTGTCATACAACAGAATTATATTGTAGGGTTGTTTTGGGGGTTGGGTATAGGTCACTGACATAATGCTTGCTTACTCAGTCTTCATTCTCAGCACTTCCAAATGAAAAAAAAAAAAGATTTTGGATGGGGGAGAACTTTAAAGAATTAAAGAAATAAAAATAAGTTTGTCATGATAACTAATGATGATCATCTCAGGGGTTTCAGATAAAAACTGACTTTTTTCTTATGCTTCATGGTTTTTAAGTTTTTCAATACTCATTTCTTATAAAGGTTTTTTTTTTTCTTTTTAAGAAGCAGGAGAAAGGAAAATTTACTTTTGAAGAGATTCCACAAGAGCCAGGCAGACCACCTGCCACAGGAGGGCATGGGAACTCTCTGGCTCATCTTCCACTCTTTCTCCTGTCCAATGCAGTGGTGTCGGCAAAGCCCAAGGTGCACACTCGACAGCCTCGCATTAACTCCTACGTGGAGGTGGCCGTGGATGGACTCCCCAGCGAGACCAAGAAGACGGGCAAGCGCATCGGGAGCTCTGAGCTTCTCTGGAATGAGATCATCGTTTTGTAAGAGAAAGTCATTTCTTCTGGAAGGCAATAAGAAGGGGAAGGCAGAGGTGCCCTTCAAGGATGAGGGGGAGCCTCTGGCTCCTGCCCCAGGGCTCCTCTGTCTGTGTTTCTACATCACAGAGCTCACAGAGCATTCATTGTTAGCTAGAGGGTTGCAGGTCAGCATTGGGGTGGGGAAAGGTGTATGCCAGTGTCTTCCTGTTTTGCAACCCCCAGATGTTAGCTGTGTAGTGTAACTGTTTTCTTGCAAGTTGTAGGAGTGATCAATCTGCTCCGATGCCATGAATCAGGTCTTTGTTTTCCAGGAATGTCACGGCCCAGAGTCACTTAGATTTGAAGGTCTGGAGCTGCCATACCTTGAGAAATGAACTTCTAGGCACCGCTTCTGTCAACCTATCTAACGTCCTGAAGAACAATGGGGGCAAAAGTACGTATGATGAAGGGGTAGCTGAAGTGATTCATCCGTGGGGCTGGGGAGGGCAAGCAAGTGGGTCTGGGGTACCCTTTCACCTTTAACACTTAGGGCCAGGGCTGCAATGCTTCTGACCTCACTTGCTGTTTGTGGAATCTGAGGAAGGCTGAGAGCCTTTCTGCCTCTGCCGGCATTCAGTCTCCTGCATCCTGGGCCTTAGTGGTGAGATAAATTGCCGAGTCCCCCCATCCTTTCTCAGGGTGTAGACCTTCCCTGTGCCCCCTTCTGACTCAGATGTGTGATATGTTGGGTTAAACTGTCAAATGCCTCCAGCCTAAATCACTGCTCTCCTTTTCTGAACCCTAGAACAGAACAAACGATGCGTATGTGTGTATGTGTCTGTGTACGCATGCGTGTGCATACGCATATGTGTGTGTGTGTGCATGTACCTCATGGTTAGTAGGGCTTTGTGGGTGATTACTGGATGCTGGGAGATGGCAGCTCCACCTGAATTATTGAGAGTGCCTCTGTCACCTGGGCATATAAATCCTCACTTTTCTGTTTGTTGCTGTTTGTGGTCAGTGGCCTAACCTGAGCCTGTGGGCTTTAGACCCTCCCTCATAAAGCCTCTATTCAGAGCAGGGCCATATGTAGCGACTGAACGTTGCAGAAAGAAAGCCTTGATGTCTGCTGTTGAGAAAATATTTTTTGAAAGTAAATTTAAGCTGAGAGAGATGTGGGGGTGGGGAGTGCTGAGTCCCAGGGAAGTTTACATTGATTTAAGAGTCTTTTCCTTAGGAGCCAGTCTTTTCTGCTGGCATTATAGAGATGTGATGGCCCCTGTTGGCCTGAGGAATGGTGGAAGAGCATGGCTATGTCTCTGTTTTGGTTCTGATGCTTACTAGTTTTTATTTTCCCAAGCCCTAGCCTGCTTGTTGGGATTGATTATCAAGGAAGGTTGTATTTGTTATTTATCTGGAAATTCTCACATTATGGTCTAACACAAATATGAATGGACTCTTTCCCCATCTTCATTTGTCTAGTTAACAGACAAGCTTTGTTGTTGTTTGTAGTAGTGGGGATTGAACCAGGGCCTGTGCTCTTCTATTGAATCACACCTCCAACTCTACATACCAGGTCTTTGTTATAGAAGTAAAAGTTGAAAAATCAGAACATTACAGAAAAGCACACAAACATGCAAAAAATAAAACTCACTGTAAACCCAGCACCTCACATTACTGCTAACATTTTGGTATGTGTACTCTTTTGAGCTTTTAATCTGTGTGCAGATATATATTAATAGTGTGATTTCAATGAAACAGAGCAGAGTTCAGAGCATAATGTGAACACAGTATGCCTTTGCCTCTGTAAAATGTATCAATCTTCATTTATTTATTTTTACTATTTTGGTTTTCTGAGATAGAGTGTTATGTAGCTCAGGCTGGTCTTGAAGTCACTGTGGTCTTACTTCTGCCTCCTGATTGTTGGTTATAGATATGTATCACCATGCCTAGCCATTTATTTATTTGTATTTTATTTTATTATTTTATATTGGTCTTGGGGTTTGAACTCAGCTTGGGTGCTGACCTTGAACATTTTTTGGACAATGCTAACACTCTACCATTTAAGCTATATCTTTGTTTCCAGCTTGTTGGTGATAAGTTGGAGATAAGAGTCTCCTAGCTGGGCACGGGTGGCTCACGCCTGTAATCCTAGCTACTCTGGAGGCTGAGATCTGAGGATTGGGGCTCAAAGCCAGCCCAGGCAGGAAAGTCTGTGAGACTCTAATCTCCAATAAACTACAAGAAAACCGGAAATGGTGCTGTGGCCCAAATGGTAGAGTGCTCACCTTGAGCTGAAGAGCTGAGGGACAGCGCCCAAGCCCAGAGTTCAAGCCCCATGAAAAAAAAAAAAGAATCTCTTAGACTTTTCTGCCCTAATTGCCTTTGAAATGTGATCCTCAGCTCTCAGTCTCCTGAGTAGCTAGGATTACAGGCATGAGCCACTAGTACTCAGCAGTTACTTGTCTTACTTGCTTTATTAATCATTATTATTAAAAAAGTTAGGATGATTGTTAAACTTTTCTCAGATATCCTAAGCAACCGTTAAGATGAAGACATGATTGTTATTTACTGCTTTAACCTCCCAATAGTTATAGTCTTTGAGTTTCTAGAATATACCTAATTGCTTGAGGTAGATTTTTCCTTGAAGGTTTTGTTAGGATCACTATTAATGCTTTCTTGGGGGTTTTCTGTCTGTATACATCAGTAAGACTTGTCTGTAGTTTTGCTCTATTTTTGAAAGTTTTGGAATCAAGGCTAAACTAATTTTATAAAGTAAATTGAAGCACTTTCCAACTTTGGGAACTGACTCCTAGCACGGGAATGATCTGTTCCATGAGTACAGGAAAGAACTCAACCATAAAACCAACCAGGCCTGGCATCTTCCTTTGAAATAATTCTTTGATGGCTTTTCAGTCCCCCACTTTCCATAATTATTGGTTTATTCAACTTTCCTGATTCATCTTGAGTCAATTTTGTTAATTCATTTTTTTCTGAGAGAATTGTTTCGTGAGATATTCTTATATACTAGTATAAGGATCTAAATAGTATTCTCATTTTATCAAATGTGTGTAATTGTTTTTACTTAGATTTTTTGATACTCATATATTTTTCTCTCAGCTTTTCTTCCTGACTAGCTTAAGTGGTTTTAACTTTTTTTGTTTGTTTGTTTCTGGTTGGTCATGGGGCTTGAACTCAGGGCCTAGGTGCTGTCCTGAGCTCTTCTGCTCAAGGCTAGCGCTTTACTAATTTGAGCTACAGTGCCACTTCTGGTTATTGAGTGGTTAATTGGAGATAAGTGTCTCATGGGGTCTTTTGTGCCCTGGGTGGCTTCGAACTGCAATCTTTAGATCTCATCTTCCTGATAGCTGGGATTACAGATGTGAGCCACCAGCACTCAGCTGTTTTAACTTTTTGTTTTTAGTTTTCTTCTTTTTTTTTCCTGTGGTGCTGGGATGAAACAGAGGCTCTTGTGCATACTCAGCAAGCACTCTACCACCAAGCTATGCACCCAGTCCTTTAGTTTGCTTTACACAGAGCGATTTGGATTTGTCAATTATGTCATATTTTCTGTTTTTAGCTTTATTCACTTTTTCCCTTATATCTGTTTGTCTTCATTCATTCATTTACTCACTCATTTCATAACTTTTCAAATTGAAAGCTTAGTACATTTTTGTCCTTTCTTGTTTCATAATGAAAATATTCTTGCTTTAAACTTGTCTCTGATTTTTTTTCTTGTGAGTATTGAAATTTTTTTTCAAAGTAAAGTGCACAAGTTTAAATGTTACGGCTTGATGAATATGTGCATATATTCACACGTTCACATCTGTGCTTATCACCACTTTGATCAAGATACAGAACATTTTCCTAATGTTCATATCACTGAGATCATACAGTACCCTTTTCTCCTCCCTTCCTTTCCTTTCTTTCCCTTTTCTCCTCTTTCTTTTCTTTTTGTCTTTGCAGATCTGTCTTTCTCTTTCTCCCTTTCTCTTTCTCCCTTCTTCCCTTCTTCCCTTCCTCCCTTCCTCTCTTTCTCTCTTTCCTCCTTCCCTCTCTCTCCTTCTCTCCCTCCCTCTCCCTCCATCTTGCTTCTCTCGTTTCCTTCCTTCCTTCCTTCTTTCTTTCCTTCCTTCCTTCTTTCTTTCTTCCTTTCTTTCCTTCTTTCTTTCTTTCTCTCTTCTTTCAATGGGATTTGAACTCGAGGCCTAAGGCCTTGTGCTTGCTAGGCAGGTTTTCTACTACTTGAAACATGCTCTTTTGACTGGCTTATCATTTTGTACTATAAAATTCACCCATTAATGTATCAGAAGTCTGGTATGAGATTTAGTTGTTGTATTATAATATGTGAATATGCCACAATCTGTCTGATTTCCTCTTGGTGAGCATTTGAGTTGTTTTCAGTTTTGTCATTGTGAACATTTTTTTGGGGGGAGGGGCAGGGGTACTCAGGGCCCCATGCTTGCTCAGCACACAGGTGTTCTACCATGCAAGCTGCAACACCCCCGGTCCTTGCTTTGACCATTTGAGGAGATCTACGCATGCATAGCAGCATGGGTTCACAGGGTGGATATGTTTACCTTTTGTAGGTATCATCAGTTTTCTAGTGCTGTACAAATATTGTATTTCATAAATCTTGTTGTTTTGCTCATTGTTTGTAATTAATATTGAGATTTCCTCTTCATGCCCAGGGTTATTTAGAAAGGCATATTTTTTTTTTTTTTTGTCGGTCGTGATGCCTGAACTCGGCCTGGGCACTGTCCCTGAGCTCTTCAGCTCAAGGCTAGCGCTCTACCACTGGAGCCACAGCAGTGCCACTTCCGGCTTTTTCTGCTTATGTGGTGCTGAGGAATCGAACCCAGGGCCTCATGCATGCAATGCAAGCACTCTACCACTGAGTCATCTCCCCAGCCCTAGAAAGGCATGTTCTGTGCTGCTTGGGGTGTTGGTTGTAGCTGTTGCTGGCACATTTGTGTATGGCTGAGTTGGGTAGTAAGCCCATTAGATCAGAGTCTGATGGGAAATGTGGCTCTTGGTAGGGCAGTGGCTACTTTTTCTCGGGAAATCAGATCTGGAAGGACAGCAGCACAGTCTGTGTACAAAATGTTCTGGTCATGTTTCACAAAGCCTTCTCTTAAAAAGAGCAAAGCCATTTCTGGGTGACTGTAAATATGTTGTATAGAGGAGCTATTCATACTTTGTAGATGCAGGGGCCAGACTAACTGGATGACAGTCTTGATTCCAGCAGTTTGCTGACATTGAGGAGTCACGGAACTTCTATGTGCTTTATTTCATTTTCTGCAAAACGTTGTTTTGATATAAAATGAACTGAGAACAGCATCTGGCACATGTAAGACCTATGTAAGTAGTAGCTGTCTCCTCTGATACAAAAGTTCATCCTAAAAGTTAGCAAGTTTGAGTCCCTGAAGTAGGCCACAGAGATCATTTTCTGGT